ATGATGGTGTCTGGACTGTTGATCTGTGGTGTGGAGCCTCAGGAAAGTGTAGAGTCCTCCGGCCCAGTAACCAGACAACTGGAACAAGGACCGTTATAGTACTACAAATAGGAAAAAAACCCGGGGGGGGGGACAAATTGTAGATTGAGCTTGTTGCAGGAGGAGGAATGTGGGTAAGGACATCACGTTTGGGTGGACTTAACCTTTAATGTACAACACACACGCCGATCAGAGCGAGCCGGCGCTGGTAGGAAGGCGAAGTCACTCCTCCGGAAGGAGAAACAGAATGGAAGCTCTACTGCCACTGATGAATTGGCAAATCGCTCCGACACGAGATCAATAATTGAACATTTTTCATTCTGTAGAGAAACAAAAACATCCGACATGTCCGCCGGCGACCAGCGATGACCTGTGTCTGGTGCATAGTATTCCTGCTCGGATCTTCCTCGCTCCGCAGAGTATTCCTGCTCGGATCCTCCTCGCTCCGCAGAGTATTCCTGCTCGGATCCTCCTCGCTCCGCAGAGTATTCCTGCTCGGATCTTCCTCGCTCCGCAAAGTGTATCACTGTTCGGATCCTCCTCGCTCCGCGGGACAAAGTATTCCAGCTCGGATCTTCCTCGCTCCGCAGGAGTATTCCAGCGACTATTTTCCTCGCTCAGAGTATTCCAGCGACTATCTTCCTCGCAGTAATACGGCTTCCAGGCCCTCCGGGGTTTTGGCACCACGATCGGCGTTCAGGCCTCAGCGCCATCCGCAGGTGGAGGAGAAATGCGATTGTGTCATTTGCTGGCGGTGCTCCGGTGTGCGCCAGCCCCATCACACGAGGCTCAGGCCGTGCAGGCGGTGAAAGGGCGCCATGTGAAATGCAGCCGGTGGTGAGAATTTGTTTACTACCGACGCAATCCAACCTACAGCCGGCAGCTCGCAGGTTAACGCGGCGCGGTAATCCGCCGGGAGCTGAATGGAGATGGAGCAGATTGGCTCGGCTTCTCGCACACCTTAATCTCCATTATACCGCTGAGC